AATTTCGTCATAAATTTAGGCCAAAACGTATACTGCTCCATGTCTGCTAAAAATAAAAAATCCCAATACGTGTAAATTAATTGGTTTACGTGAAAGATATAGTGTTTACAAATGGCGGTATACATACTGGAATTTTTTTTACTAGTAATGGCGGTGATCAGCGACTTATAGTGGGACTGTGGCAGGCATTCTGACATTGGGGGGAACTGACTTGGTGTCACTGCCATCCCCAGTGCTTTAAAAAAAAACAAAAAAAAAAAAATCACTGACACTGTACTAATGGCATTGGGCAGGAAGGGGTTAACATGAAGGACAATCAAAGGATTAACTGTGTGCTGGGAGTGTTTTACTGGGGGGCGGTGTGTTGGTGCTTCACTGCTGAGACCCAGTGATTGACAGCAGCGGCCGTGAATGGCGGCGTGGGTAGGGTGCGCGCCCCCCTACCTGGAAACATAAAATCACGTATATATACACACGTGATTTTGCGCACCCCTGCCGCCCTGTAGCAGTATTTCTGATATAGGGCAGTCGGGATGTAGTTAAAGTTGAAGTGGTTGTAAAGGTGGAAGGTTATTAACCTGAATGCATTCTGTGCGTTAAGGTAAAACACCTTTCTAGGTGCAGCTCCCCCTTATGCTTACCTGAGCCCAATCTCGATCCAGCTCTGTGCATGAGAGCAGAGGCTCTCTCTCCTCACTGGACATGGAAGCTGGAGCCATTGGCTGCTGCTGCTGTCAATCACAGCCAATGAGGAGCGAGTGGGAGGTGGGGCTGAGCCACACTGTGTAATTATAGACACACGGAGCATGGCTTGGGATCAAGCCTGCATGAGTGCCTCCACAGCAAGCGGCTTGGTATGGAGTCACACAGCAGAGGAAAGGAGGCAGGGACCTCAGAAGAGGAGGATCGGGGCACAGAGCTGGTATGTATAACATGTGTCTTATTTAAACAAAATCCCTTTACAATCAATTTATCCTGGGTTCACATGGATGCAGTGCGGAATTTGCAGCGGTATCTGTGTGAATTTCGCACCACATCACAATCGCACCCAATTCATGTGAACCGCTGCGGGTATGTTAACAACACCCCAAAATCAGATCACAAAATGCGGTGTGATGTGCAGAATCACCCATGTGATCCGATTCTAGTGTAGACAAAAAAAAAAAAAAAAAAAAAAAAGGGTCCTGCATCTTTTTGGTGCGGATGCAGTACAATTTGAGCCATACAAAATGTACGGCTCAAATTGCACCGCACAGAATGTGATTTGCACAGGAATGCGTTGCGGTTCCTGTGCGAATCACATGCGATATGCCGCATCACATCAGTGTGAACCCAGGATTAAACAGGAATTCCAGCCTTACCTTCGGTCTCGCACAGTTGTACTAGTTCCTCTCCTGTACTGAAATTGCTTACTCTGATGTCACTGCACATTGTCTGCTTCTCACTTTATGCCAGCCAAAATAAAACAAACCAAATTCCCCCCATCAATACATTGGAGGATGGGAGAATTCCCCCCACCCTGTGCTATTGCATTCTGGTCAGCAGGATGACTCCGCTGTCAGAATTCACTGATCAGTGCTGTAGTCGGTTGGCTGCCAGCACTAATCGAGCAAGAGCAAAAATACACAGCCCTGTCCAGGAAGAGTTAATCACTTCTCTCAAACGGAACCAGCCATACATGGATCAAAATTCTGGCCAGCTTTAGGCCCCATGTACACAGGACTCTTCTGAACGATGGAAACTGACTGCTGGAAAATGTAGGTTAAAAAATGTCTGTTTAGCCGCGTTTGCATACCGCGTTTATGAGCGTTTGCGTTTAGAAGCATTTAACAATAACCTCAGGAGACCTTCCAAAATGCCCATAAAAACAGTAACAAATTAACTATTTAAGACACTTTGAGAGAAATAGAGAGAACAGAAGCAGAGAGAGCAGTATTTGTTGAGATTAGCTGTCTTTTTTTTTTTTTGTGGCGTTTGGATGTGTTCCAGCTCATTTCTGTGCAGTAATTATTGCAGCAGTGTCTAACCTATTTTATTTCATGCAAAACCTCAAAGTATGGTGTACCAGGTCCATTTGAGTACCGGAAAAACACTTTGCATGCATTTTTCATGATGAAAAAAGGCTCTGGACATGCAAGAACTTTCAAACGCAAAACGCTTATAAACGCGGTTAGCAGTGTTTACAACGCTGATAAAATCTACTTCTGAATGCATGTTTTCTGCATTCAAAAAAACGACTGTAAATGACGATGTGTACATGGACACATAGGAAAACATTAGGGAGAGTTCGGGGGCTGCTGAAAAAAAGCAGAAAAGCTCCTAAGCGTGAGTTTATCAGCTGCAGTGTACATGAGCCTTAGATTGCCCAGAGAAAATATCTGCAGAGGAATGGTATCTGTACTTGAGTGAGTTGCTGAAGCGCCATGATTTGCTACAGTTGTGGAAATGTTCAGTACTTCCACAGTGGGAATCTCCCCATGCACATGGAACTTTTTTTTAGTACCTTGAACAAGTTGTTCCAGCACTGTAACGACTATACAAATGTGTGAGTTTTCTACATTCTGTTGAATCCAGCAAGAAATGAATACACTGGCAGTCAATGTTCATCCGCAACTTGCAGCCAGTGAGTAGATGATGCAACAGACCAGTGGAGGTTGCAGTCTACCAAGAATCTGCTTGCCGCTAGTACAGAGGAATTCAGTATAATGGTGACAGAAGAGCTCTAAGGATTCCTCCCGCCATAGTAAAATAAACTGCATGTATTGTAGAATGAAAGGTCTATTCACTTCCATACGAAGATAATGATAATGCTCTGATCATTCGCTCGGAGAAGAAATGTCTCACTGATTTTTACATTTTAAAAAAAGGAAAAACAGACACCTCTCATGGCTGCGTTTTGTGTCCCATCCCAACTAAAGAGCAAGTAATAAGCAAACGGTCTTCAATTCCTGTGTGCTTACCCCTCCAATAGATCACACTGACAGCAGCGAAGAGCAGACGATTCCTCTAATGCAGTATTGGTTTGCCTGTTTCCCACCTGTAGGGCTAGGATATGCTGAGGAGTCAGGAGAGGACACAAAAACCAATATACTTTGTCACATGTACATGCTGCAGATCCAGAGACCTCATTATCAGGATGTTTCCCTGAGAGAAGGAATTTTCTTTGGAAAATGTTACGTACCCAAATGACTCAAATGACAATTTTTAGGATTTCACAAATAAACTGCATTTGGTTACATAACAATTTTGCGAAATGTATTTGCTTATTTATTTATATTTGATGGTTTTAAAACAAAAGTCCAAATAATTCACCACCTACAACAGATATAAAATGAACTTGTGCCCAGATCATGGACATGAAGGCATTTCAATATTGTAACGTGCGGTAAAATTTACAACAGCCTGACAGCGGCCGCAGCTATTCGTGGCTGTTCCCACAGCTAGATGTTACCTTCATTGACTGTGGCTGGGCGCACACAAAATGCATCTAGCCACGATCACTGGCTGTGTGAACAACTACAAATAGCTGCAGCCATCAGCTTGTCATTGTTTTGTAAGGGCTGAGCGGTTACTGGCACAATGGTCATTCCAGACATAGAAATCAGCAGATTCTTGCCATTTGCAGGGTGGGCTAATTGCCAGAGTGAATGTAACAGCCTAAGGGCTTGTTTACACAAGCGTTAGCCCTCTGAAGAGCAACCTGCAGTGGAACACTCTTCAGAGGGTGTTATATGGGTGGTGAGGTGGTGTTATGTTGCTTTCTCACCACGGTTTTAATCTCATAAATGTCGCTCCACCACTGCATGCATTTCACTTGGTTGTGGGGTGGATGAAGTGCTGAATCTTTACTTGAATGCAAGTTTAATTCTTGTAATGCTTTCTTTTGCACCCCCCCGCAACTGCAAGTGTGAATAAGCCTTAAAACAAGCTTTCCTTTATCTCTGTATCTGCAAACATTACTGGATTACATTGTTTCAAGACAGGGTAGGGGCTAAAAACAGGAAAACAGGCCACATAAAGTGATTCTAAAGGCGGTTTTGTTTTTTTTTTTCATTATTAAATACATCATACTTACCTGCACTGTGTAATCGTTTTGCATAGAGTAGCCCCGATCCTCCTCTACTGGGGTCCCCCACCGATGCTTCTGGCCCCTCGCCAAGTGCCCCATAGAAAGCTGCTTGGTACAGGGGCACTAGTATGTGCTCGCTCCCAAGCCAGCTCTGTCTATGGGACATAGAGAGCACGACTCAGCCCCGCCTCCACTCCTTCCTGACTGGCTGTGATTGACAGCAGCGAAAGCCAATGGCTCTCGCTGCTGTGTCTGAGCCAAGGAGGAGAGAGCAGCTGACCTTGTGCACATTGCTGGATCAAGATTGGGCTCAGGTAAATATAAAGATTGGCTGGGAGGAAACTGCACACTAAGGCTCCATTCACACTTAGGCATTTCAAATGGAGGAAGGGTTTAGGAATGACAGCTCTTAAGAGTAGCCGCCCCCCCTTTTTTGCCCGGAGAAGGAGAAAACTCTACACCGGCTTCCAGTAAGTATGGACTTTGTTGGCACACCACAGGACACTATTGTAAAAATAAGTTTATTACAACATCATTAAAATAAAAGGAAAAAAAACACATATCCAGAAAACTATACCCTGGAAAGTAAAAACCATACATATACCCTCTACTGGATTGGTACAATGGCTAGCCTGAACTCCTATGCACACATATGTACAGTATTCAATGTATATTAACCACTTGCCTACCAGGCACTTTCACCCCTTTCCTGCCAAGGCCAATTTTCAGCTTTCAGCACTGTCGCACTTTGAATGACAATTACGTAGTCATGCCACACTCCACCCAAACAAAATTATTATTTTTTTTTTTTTTTAAGACAGAGCTTTCTTTTGGTGGTATTTAATCACCACTGGGTTTTTTTTTTTTTGCTAAACAAACTAAAAAAAGACTGAAAAATTTGAAAAAAAAAGTGTTTTTCTTAGCTTCTGTTATAAGATTTGTAAACAAGTAATTTTTCTCCTTCACTGAAGTGTGCTAATGAGGCTGTGATGGGCACTGATGAGGGGGCACTAATGAAAAGGCACTGATGGGCATTGACAGGCATCACTGATGGGTACTGAAAGGCAGCACTCATATATGGCACTGATTCATATATGGCACTGATTGGAACTTTTAGGCGACACTGACATGTGGCATTGATGTGCACTGGTAGGCACTGATATGTTGCATTGATGGGCACTGACAGGTGGTATTGATGGGGCTACACTGATCATCAGTGTACATGTCCCCTCTGAGGAATGACGATTACCGGCTTTTCCTATTTACACATGATCAGCTGCGAGTGGACACAGCTGATCACATGACAGAGCCGGCGTCATTGGCTCTTTAAAGTGATTGGTGATCTGCTGTGTCCCAGGGATATAGCGCACCACTGATGGCTGTGCCCCCGGGGGACAGCATGCGCAGTTAGAGTGGGAGGACGTGATATGACGTCCTCCCAGAACGAGAGGACCGCCCCTTCATTACCTTATATGGCGGGCAGGAGGCGGTTAAACAGACAGGCTTCTCCAAAACCAGATCAGACAATGTATTCTGCAGTAAAATAGCTTCATCAGGACAAGGAGGGTATGTAGATAAAGGCTAAGTATATAAACAAAAACATAATATGTAAGATACATGTAACAGCAAACAAAAAAATTATAATATATATCTTACATATTTCAACAGTTACAGAGTATGCTCCAATATCATACTGACCAATTAAAAGGGTATAGCACTGGATGGGCTGGCAGCCATGAAAAAGGGGTGAAGACAATCCCTCTCCACAGGTGTCTTAACCGCTTCCCGACCACCCTATAGCAGAACCACTGCTACAGGGCAGCAGGGCTGTACAAAATCACGTATATATAAGTAATTGTGTTTCTCAGTAGGGAGCACGTGCGCCACCCTACCCGCGCCGCCATTGGCAGCTACAGCTGTTGATCACCTGGTCCAGAACATAAATTCCCCACTGGCACCCGGCGATCGCCAAGGAACACTGACAGAGCCACCCACCTGTGTACATCAGTGCCTAGCAGTGCCCCCCATCAGTGCTGCCCAGCAGTGTCGCCTATGAGTGCATCATCAGTGCCAGCTCATCAATGCACATTACTGAAGGAGAAAAATTACCTGTTTGCAAAATTTTATAATAGAAACAAAGAAAAAAAATTTTTTGCTCTTGTTTATAGTGCAAAAATATTTAAAAAAATACCACCAAAATAAAGCTCTATTTGCGTGGAAAAAAATGATAAAAATTTCATATAGGTACAGTGTTGCATGACTGCGCAATTGTCAAAGTGCAACAGCGTTGAAAGCTGAAAAATGGCCTGGGCAGGAAGGTGGTATAAGTGCCCAGTAGGCAAATGATTAATATCAGCTGGTTTAGTCTCAACTGATGGCCTATAAAAAGGTGTCTCATTACAAAGGTGTCCTACACAAAAGATCTCATGATGGGTAAAAGCAAAGAGCTCTCTCAAGACCTTTGCAACCTTATTGTTGCAAAACATACTGATTGCATTGGTTACAGGAGGATTTCTAAACTTCTGATAGTTCTAGTGAGCACTGTTGGGGCCATAATCTGGAAGTAGAAAACATTTTCACCATAAACTGGCCATGACCAGGTGCTCCTTGCAAGATTTCTGACAGGAGGAGTGAAAAGAATTATCAGAAGACTTGTCCAAGAGCCACGGACCACTTGTGGAGAGCTTCAGAATGACCTGGAATTAGCAAGTACAATTGTTTCAAAGAAAACAATAAGTAATGCACTCAACCGCCATGACCTGTACGCACGCTCACCACGCAAGACTCCATTGCTGAAGAAGAAGCATGTTGAACCTCATTTAAAGTTTGATGCACAACATTTATACAAGTCTGTGAAACACTGTGAGAATATAGACTGGTCAGATGAAACCAAAGTTGAACTCTTTGGATGCCATAATACACACTATGTTTGGAGGGCAAATGGCACTGCACATCACCCCAAAAACACCATACCAACAGTAAAGTTTGCTGAAAATCAGCCCCACACCATGATGTTCCCACCTGCATACGGTACTGGCAACCTTCAAGGAAGGATGAATGGAAAAATGTACCAAGACATTCTTGATAAGAATCTGCTGCCATCTACCAGGATGAAGGTGATGAAACGAGGGTTGACATTTCAGCAAGTCAATGATCCCCAAACACAAAGCCAAGAAAACTCAATTGGTTTCAAAAAAAGAAAATAAAGCTGCTAGAATGGCCCAGCCAATCACCTGACTTGAATCCAGTAGAAAATCTATGGAAAGAACTAAAGATCAGAGTTCATAGAAGAGGCCCATGGAACCTTCAAGATTAGAAGACTGCTTCTGTGGAAGAATGGGCCAAAATCACACCTGAGCAATGCAGGTGACTAATTTCTCCATACAGGACGCATCTTGAAGCTGTCATTACCAAAGGATTTTGTATGAAGTATTAAATAAATTTCAGTGAGCATGTTCAATACTTTTTCCCTGTGTCATTCCATTTTACTACACATAACTTAATTTCTGAACTTATTTGTTTTGGTTTCTTTGTATGTATGGATTGCATGGGTTGTTACAGACATGTGGTGAAAATTTAATGTCAATAGCCTTTTAGAAACCTTTAGAAATATATTTACTGAGAAAAGTGGTGACGTGTTCAATACTTGTACCCGCTGTATGTGTGCGTTATATTTTAATGATATTGTAATAAACGTATTTTGATTTTGTACAATAGTGTCTCGTGGTGTGCCAATAAAGTCCATACATACTGGAAGCCGGAGGAGAGCTTTCACCTTCTATGAACTTTACTTCCTCTTTTTATCTGGGGACAAAAGATATTTACCATTGCAGTGGGTCCCTAGGGGCCTAGGGGATGAACAAGGAAATATACTTACCTTAGTCCTCACTTTCTCAGGAGTGGTGCTCTCCATTGCTGTTTGACACACTGAAATGTAGGCAGGCCCTCCGAGTCCTCACATACATTGCAAGGCTGCTGGTCCATCACAGCTTGACTGATCAGGCAATGAAGGTTTCAGGGGACCGGTTGCACAACTAAGAGGAATCTGGTGAGAGCAAGGATAAGGTTAAGTATATCACCTTATTCCTCATCCCCAGGGGCAGACTGACCATTTGGAAACTCGGGCACTGCCCGAGGGCCCGGGGTCAGTAGGGGACCCCACGAGATGCCCCTGGTACCTTTTTCATAGGCTTTTTTTGAGTTTGGGCAAGGACACAGGGGCCCCATGATCCCCTATTGCCCGGGGGCCCCATGAGTTGTCAGTCCGCCCCTGCTCATCCCCTAAACAAAAATAAGCAGTTATCTCTGCGCTGCAAGGGGAAACAGTTTTCAACCCTGAAGTTCAGCATTCAATTGTAAAAATGATTTCTTGACTTTTAAAAAGGAGGAATTAAAAGAAAAGGATATTTGTGCAACACAATGTGAAGAACTACATTAATGGCACATCAGAGAATGACAGGTTAATATAACAGGTGGTAAAATGCACGTTAGGCCTCATGCACACTGCAGCTGTCAAACACCTCTTTTACAGACTTTTGAGGTTTTTCCTTTTCTGCTCCTAAATGCCCTTCTATACCAGTCTATGTGTCCATGTTTAAAAAATGCAGCTTTAGGCACGGTTTTTCTCCTGTCAGAAGAAAAGCATTCAGAAGAGCATAGTGTGCATGAGGCCTTACTGTAAAGGTCCTTTCACGGAGCGTTCGGTATTTTTCTTCTTCAGTTCAGTCACATTTTTTTCAAAGAGAAAGAAAAAAAAAAAAAAAAAAAAGAGAAGAGGAAGGATAAGTTTACATCCAGTTTCAGTCATCAGCTGATAGCGGGATTCCCCACTGACAGCTGAACGTAAAAAAATAAAACAAAAACAAAACAAAAAAAAAAAAAAAAAATTGCTGGCAATTAAAATTAAATTAATTAATTATAGAATTATTTTTTTTTTTTTTTAACTAAAATTCTGTTTTCACCATGTTTTGCATCCTTTGCTGCATATCAGCAATGCTGATTTTCTCCATGCAGCCAATTCCTGTTATCCCACTCTTAAGCAACTTGGCAGGTTTCCAGACAGCCACATTGTTCACCAGCAGGGCTACCTGTACTCTATGCTTGGAGAGGTGTGATAAAAGGGAGAATGCAACTGGAAAATAGAGACTAAGCAATGTCATTCTATAACAGGTCAACAAGGTCCCACACACAGCACAGCAACATATTTCAATCTAAGCTGCACCTTAATACAACTGAAAAGGACATTTGAAATTACTGTAAAAGCTCAAAGCATATTTGTGATTTTAGTGATTGGATTTACATAGACTTTAAAACCCAACTCCAGGACATATAAACATTTCCTCCAAAACAAACAGCCATAGATGGATTGAAATTCAGCAAGTCCCAGCTATAACCCAAAGTTAAGTATCTGGGCCTGTATCTTAGTTGGTTTACAGCCACCAAAGCACAGCATCAAAAGCTACCAGCGTGGAGGGAAAAAAAAAAAAAAAAAAAAAAAAAAAAAATCCAAGAAAACAATACATTACATTTAAAAAACACAAACTTACAATTAGATATCTAGACATATAGATGGCGTTCCTCTGCAGGGTTTATTTTTATTTCAGTCCATCCTTTCAAATCACGGTCAGGATGGATTGAAGAGTTCTACACTTACCAAATGTACTGTAGGAGACCCATGAACCCTTTTGTGACATTAAAATAGGGGCATATTCAGATGTGCACAGCGGAGTACTACGAAGCATGTCAGTTATAATACAGAGAAACTATTTGTCCACGTGATGAGCCATTATAATTATAGACACGAGGTGTGTAAAACAGCAACATATTGTGAGTCACTGTAATAAAACCTCACCAGGCAAGTCAGCACCATATACTTTATGAGAGCGTGAACTACACCTCATTTACTTTTATTCATCAATATACAATTTTTTTTTTTTTTAAATATTAAACGCCTTAATGACGTTCACCTCACTTCATACAAGTATAATGCATGCTGTATTTACCATTATCTTTATATTTTTTTTTCCCTACAGTCAATCAGAAGTGAAGGAAAATCTCCCTGATTTGAAACAGATGGCCAAACAAAAAAATTGTTAACTTTTGCAAAAACATACACACACTATTATATATATACATACACACATATACATACACATACACATATATATATATATATATACACATATATATATATATATATATATATATATATATATATACACACACACACACACACACATACATACATATACATACACACATACATACATACACACACATAAACATATATACACACACATACATACACACACACTCAGATGAAACTCAAAATTT